ATCTTGTAAAATGTTATTCACCTATATTTTTCATTAAATTATTTTTAGATAAATTAAAACAAAATATGTATGTACATAATTAAATATTTAAATTTACCTGTGACTTGCTTATGCAAAATCGTTCTGCTAAAACACGAACACTTAGATTTTCTGTTTCCTTGGTTTTAAATATAAACGAATATATAACAGATAAATATAGTGTTTTTATTAAACGTTTTCGATATGTACATTTATTGTGTCCATTTATGAGAGGTAATTTTTAATTTGGTACCAGTTTATTGTGTCCACGTCCACTATTAAGAGTGTCCACTACTAAGAGGTTATAACTCCTATTATGCGCATACATTTTTGCCGGGGAATTTAGAAGTGTCCACTATTGGGAAGGGTCCACTATTGAGAGGTGTCCATTAATAGAGGTTTCACTGTATTTTAATAAATAACGTGGAAAATAATGTTTTAGTGGGTTACTTCATAGAAATTACTTTTAAAAATTAATTGCATTACAATAGCGTTACTTTAAGTAAAATGTAATGCAATTACTGCTACGTTGCTGAAAAAGTAATTTGTAATTTGTGTTACGTTACTACCCAACACTAGATACATATAGGTATTAAGAGGACGCGATACCCGCATGTGTTGTCTCTGTCTTACAAGTGCGTAACATAGCAAATTTTACGCTCAGCAGAACACGTGTAGCTCCGTTAGTTTAAAATTTAGTGCGTATTGTCCTCTTATAAAATCTAAAGGTAAGATTATTATCTAGTCAACCTCATAGGTTTTTTATTATATTTTAATTTTAACGCGAGTTATGAGTATTTTAAAATTGTAAATTTTTTATACATCTTAAAATACTCATAACTTGCGTTAAAATTAAAATATAATAAAAAAACCTATGAGGTTGACTATATAATAATCTTACCTTTAGATTTTATAAGAGGTCAATACGCACTAATTTTTAAACTAACGGAGCTACACGTGTTCTGCTGAGCGTAAAATTTGCTATGTTACGCACTTGTAAGACGGAGACAACACATGCGGGTATCACGTCCTCTTAATAAATGTGACAAATGATGATATATATACCTAGGCGCAAATACCTATGCTCAACATTTTGGTGGGGCTAGGTTATTCTAAAAACATAGAAAAAATATCTTTCCTGTGATGTATATAAATATATTTATGGGCTTATAATTTAGTTTTATTTTTAACGTAATTTTGTAATAATCTTCATAACTGCATCTTAACGGATGAGAAACATCCATGAACCAAGGATGTCTTTACTCTTTTTGCGTATATCAGCATTT